CATGCTTGAAAGATTTTCAAAAACAAAAAAATCTCATCTATTAGTGTTCATTTTCTGATAATGAAAAATCTATACTGCAAGAAACCAACCTGATATGACTGTAAATGGAAGAGGAGAACCATTTAAGGTTTGATTATCACCATAAACATGTAACATGAGCTTTCCAGCAATGGTGGGAATAAACTCGATGAAAAAATATCCCAAATCGTTCCAAGAACTAGAAACGAAATTGAAAATCTCTGCTGTAGATCCGTTTGGATAAGATGCTGACAAAGTAAAATGATCACTCATTGGCATATCCACTGATGAGATATTATTTCCAAAAGCATCTTTAGGATATATCAGCAAATAAGTTTTGGTCCCAGCAACAGACTCCTCAGAAGAATCCATCCAAAAAGGCAGACAAGCAGATGGGTACATTAGTCCTTCAAATAGAAAGTTGCAGCAGAAATTAGCAAAAATATTGAGAAAGAATTAAACCTGAATAATAGTAATTAAAGATCTCCAACAAGACTAACTTCAAATGTAAGCAGCTTGCATTACCACGAAATTGGTAAAAGAGAAATTAGAATAGAAGAGAATGTTTTATGATAGTTTAATGTATGAAAATGTCCAAAATCATATAAATTAAGCTTTAACGAAGAAACCTTCAAATTTAATAGCTTCTAGCATACCTACCTTCAGCATGCATAAAAGATTGACAGAACAGGACAACGTGAATATTAAATGAAAAGAAGAGACTAAGGTTTCGTTTAGGACAGCTTTTTTGATGCTTCTTAAAGCTGCTTTATAATAAAAAATTTAAAAATTTTGTACTAAAAAGTTACTTTAAGAAGCAGCGAGAAAGCCGCGTCAAACGAAGCCTAATATGAGGCATGAGAAAAAAGCATACCAGCAGTAACACTGAAATGAAGTGACGAATCAATAACACCAGAAAAATCTTCAACAACAACCACAGAAAAGTTTCCAACTTGGATGGGTGTAAAAGAAATATTCCAAAACATAGGATTTCCGTCAAAGTAAGGAAATACAGCAGATATATATGAGCTATTTCCTTTCTTCCCACTCACAGAAACTGAGAAATGCATTTTGTATGTGCTGATGTTACCATTTAACGAATTGTTCAATAGCTTAATCTTAATAGTTGCCATGTCACCAGCTTTGTAAGTGGTTTTATCATCCAGCCAACTGACAGCGAAGCAAGGATTTGGAATTTTAACTCCAAAACCTATAATAGACAAATAATCACATTTAAAAACAAATAATGAAACTTTAACACCATTCATAGGTAATACTTGAAAAATGTTTTCAAATAGATAAAAATGAATAGATCTTCCAATCAAATGAAAGTGTTGCATCAGATTTCATTGAACTTAAAAGAGGAAATTCAAGAGTTTGGGAAATTTTGTTCAATACATCGGATCTTCCTTGGACCATTAGTTTTTTAGAAAGAGCAATAGAACAAAAATATTACATGACTAAATACACAGTGCATATCAGCTCACATATTAAATAGCTTATCAAAGAATTTCAAAGGAATTTATTTTTGTAACATTTACCCAAATAGAATGGAAAATTTTAATGACTGTGGAAACAATAAAACCTGTTCAGTCTATTCTACATAGGAAATTTAGCACAAATGTCATCTTTAAGGTGGAACATTGATTATGAAGCCTCAAAGAGCTGCTTACAAGTTAGCTAGAACAATCTTTTTAGGACAATCTAGCAGTTGATTACTTATCAAGCTTAATGGATTATGTACTTTGCTTTGGGTACAACTTTTTCTTAAGGATATTTGGGCCAATTAAGGCAAACTCACACACACGTCACATACGCAAGCTTTGAACCCAAAATCACTTGGTCGGTAACAGACCAAAGTGAGCAGCATCTTTGGGTACAAGTATAAATTATAAGAGAAACTTTAACCTGAAATTTAAGAGCACTCATAAAAATTACTGAGAAATATGTTTTGGCAATTTTCAAAATTCATGATGAAGCTTTGTTCCAGAATGTTGTAATGAATTTGTGGTCTCTTAACATAAAGATTGTTGCATAGCAAATCGCATCAAATAAATGAAATTCAACCAATAACTAAAAGTCCTATTCTAGAGATGTTATCATTCCTTTTCTTGTTCTCCATAATAAATACCACGCTATTCTAACAGACATTCATAGCTACTAACTGTTTGCGGAATGGAGCAGAAGTGCATGACTGCACATGAAAGGTGGGATTTAGATATTGTAAAACTCCTTATTTTTCATATTTTAAACATTTTCCCAAGTTTTTTAAACTACCTTTGCAGTAATGTAAACAACATACCCGGCAAAATTCAAATGGATCGGAAGCAAGTAATGCCATAACTCGGAAAAGACTAGAAAATCAACCGTCACAAGGTAAAATATCCCGATCATCAAAAAGCTCTCGAATTTTCAGAAATGTAAAAGGAAATAAATTATAACTTCACCAGAAAATTTCAAATCACACGCACCTCTTTCAGATGTAGACTGATATGCCTCTGTTAAAACTGGAGGAAAAACCAAGCGTTCCAACCATAATATAATGCAGCATAACTCGATCAAACGTCTCATTGAACCCATATTAGTAAGCGGATGTTTGGATACCGGATTTAAGCAGATTTTAGCAAGATTTTAGTTAAATCTTACCAAATAACCAGAAATTCCTCCTCAAATCTCAATGTAAAGAGTAAAGTTGGTCAGCAAATACTGATTGCGACTTTAGCCATGACAAAAAGGAAGATCCAGGAAAAATCTTGACTGGGTTATTATTTCAGTTACAATCTAGCAAGCATAAATGCACTACAATTAGCAGGCAAGCAGAAGAAACAACACTGCTCAAAGATCAAAAAATAAATAAATTACAAATGTTTTAGCATTTTTTCATCAAAATTTGTATAGAAAAGATAATCTAAAACTCACTAAGGGGCTGTTTGGTATGCGGATTTAGGCGGATTTACTATCTACCAACGGGATTTGAGAGCCACCGTAAATTCTCACGGCGAAATAAATCCTCCTTTCGCTCTTTTGCCGTAAATCCCTGGATTTATTAAATCCTGTAGTTCGGCGTGATTATACGGGATTGGCCGAACAACGCGTGAAAGGGAAGAAAATTTACGGCTTCACTTCGAGCGAGCTCCCGTCATAGCTCGATCAAAATGTTGTAACTTTCCATACAACGTCCGTCGACGTAGCGAAGTCGAACTGCAACAAGGACCGACGAAACGACTCGTGCATCTCTGCACCTCTGCGGAACAAAGCCGACAAAGCAACGACCGGACTAAGCTGGCTAAACTTATTTAATATAATTTAAAATAAATTAAGCAATTAATTAAATAAATTAAAATATAATTAGTTTCATCAAAATTACAGTATCTAATTAACTTTTTAATGATATTTCTAAATTTAAACTTTTTTTTAAATAGTTAGGTAATTTATAACTTAGAGTAATTAAAAAATATATAGATTAACTTAATTAATTAAACCTTAAAATACGAAATGATAAATATAAAAATAATTAGTATAAATAGAATAACTTACTTATATATTAAATAAATAATAATTACAAATAATTAAGAGATAATTAAGAATATAAGAATAATTAAATTATTAATGGATCGGGCGCATGGCCGTCGTATCATTCGCATCCGCCTGTTAGCAGCGAAAAGTTAACAGTAGTTTTTTATCACTAGAAGAACGCACTCGTGCCCATCGGTGCACGTGAATATAAAATTTAAAAATAACTCAACAACAACAACAACAAAACAAACATCAAGCCTTTATCCCCACTACGGTTGGCGGTGGCTACATGAATCCTTTGTCTCTCCATTTGTCCTATTAAAGTCAAATTCATTCGTTTAAAATCTAATAAAGAAAGGTCATTCCTAATATTTTCTAACCAAGTCTTTTAGGTCTACCCACCTTTCTTAACATAAGTCAAATCTAATACCTTACCTCCCTAACCGGGTCATCGCAAGGCCGCGCGTTTTCTGTGACGCAAACCATTCTAAGGCGACTTTTCTCTAATCTTAACTTTAACGGAGCTACTCCAACCTTTTCACGTATCATGCTACATTTCGTATCCTATCTCTAAGGGTAAAGCCACTCATCCACCTGAGCAATTCCTCATCTTCTGCCAACTACTTATACTTAGTCATTATCTTCTCTTTTAAGGCCAACATGCGGCCCATAAAGCATTGCACGGCCTCACTATCCCATCCTAATGAATTTTTCGCGCTAAGTTGAGGGGTACATTTTCTCATCACATAACAAAGGCCAATGCATTCCTCCTCACTTCAACCATCATATAAAAAATTAATTTAATGATAATATTAAAGATATACTATTGAAATTATTCTGATGAATATAATAATTTTAATTATATTGAAAATCACATGAAGTTAAGATTATTGAATATGTGAGGTATTATATAAATAATAATATCCAATTTAGATTTATAATAGAAAAAACAAAAAAAAAAAAAAAAAAAAAACATTAAACTTTATTTCAATTTATATTTGCAAAGAATCTAAAGAGTTTTTATCTTGAAGTAAAAAAATTTCAAGTTTAAAAAAGAATTGAAAAAATCCGAACAGCTGTCTCTTGAAATATTGTGTGTTATCATAATATTATATTTTAAAAAGTATGATATAATAAAGGAACATAAATTACTGTGGTGGGCACTGTTGAGATTAATTGGAGGGCTGTGAGGTGGGCGTCGGCTGCGAGGCGACATGCAGTAGCAAGTTCGGATAGGAATCTAGATAGTGCGTGTCGTTCGGCGGAGTCGCCATTTGACAGTCGTAGACTAGTTGGAGTTTTAACGCGTACCTTGGCGCTAAGTCGTAGTATCTGGACGCCGATAAAACTAATGTAGACATATTCATGTAAATTTTCGCTGCTTTATCATGGCAGATCGTACATTTTTTCCTCAAGAGGGGTTTGTTTTAGAATCGAATTCTTTAAAACACATCTTTATTAAACAAAAAACCTATTATGAAAATATAATCCATTGGGAGATTTTTGCATTGCGTATGCTTGCTTAAGTTTCATTGCATAAATAATTAGGACTAAAAAAAAATTATCCAAAATGAATTTGCTATTGAGCAGCGGAAATGAAAGGAATGAAAATAAAGAGTAAGAGAAAATAAGGAAGACAGAGTGGTAGAGGAAGATGAGGTAGTGAAAAAAGGAGAAGAGAAGAGTTAAGAGAAAGAAGAGAAGGGAGAAAATAAAATTGTGGCAAGGGATACAAAGAGGGCAGGAAGAGAGTAAGTGTGGAGTAGAAGAAAATGTGGTATTAAAGAATTTATCCTGTGCGTGAGAGACGGGCCTCGGTCGGTATATTGACCATTCTGAATGCAAGGATCTGATTGGATGAGAGCTGAGGTGGTTCGATATGAAAGAGATCAAAGCTTCTTGTAGGTCGGTAGGAGGTCCGAGCATTTTATTCAAAAGCATTAAATGCATGTCGGAATATAAATTTTTAAATTAATTTCATATAATTAATTTTTAATTATATTTTCATTCAGATAATATATTTATCCTTCTTGGTTTCCTATTAATTATATTTATAATTATTGAATAATATTAGCAAAAACTATACATTTTCCTTACATAATATTAGCAAAAAAGTCATTTATCAAAAACTATAGTTTAAGAACATTTTATTCACTTGCCGTCCTCGAACTCTACAACTAGCCAAACAAAGGAATAACCCTAAAATAAATAAAAAAAAAAAAACCAAGCGGTGAATTTTGAGATATGTCTATAAATCCCGAAAGTCATCGATTTAATAAAACAATGAGATCAGCAGTAATATTGAATGCGGAACTCATCGCGACAATAGCATTACGTATAGTATGAATCTCGGCAAGATCACCGTCTCTTGTCGGGGCTCTTAGCATGTATTTGGGCCTTCCAAAGAAACATCCATAAATGCATATAAGCATCTAAGTAGTCACATAATGAAAATTAGTGCGGTAAATGCAGAATAAAAAGTACAGATTAATTACATGATATCTCTATCGTCAGCCTAATCTCTGAGGAGTAATAATGATGATGATATGCTATTTGTCGACTTAATATTTATAGGTGCT